TACCAATGAAAGAAGAAAGAACTAAATGATATACACCCGTATAAAATACAGAATAATGAATAAAATAAAACTATTTTGAATAGTATCAGTATTTTAATATTTAATTGTTATATTCTTTTTAAATCAAATACAACTTTTAAAAAAATTCAATAAAAAACAAGAAAAGACCAATTCTACACAAATGAAATACAATCAACAAACAGTATGTAAAACAATTATTCAATATTTTTATTCATTTATTTTATCATATTTTGAAATTATGTTTATATTACATTCTTTTATATTAATTTCTAATGACGTGACAATGAATTGAATAATAATAATAATAATAATAAGATAATAATTATGATAAATGAACAGCAATGAATAATGAATAAAACCAGATTTAAATAATATATTTGTAATATATTTCATGAAATATAATATAATAATTGAAATATAAATTAAAAGAATACAATGTTGTAATAAACAAAAATGGAAATGAATAAAAATGATATAATTATTAATATATTAATGATGAATTTAAAATGGTGGCATTGATTAATTCTTGTCTATTAAACAAAGTATGAAATATAAACCATAAAACAAATTAATAAATATGTTTAGTATATCTGAAGAAATAATTAAATAATCTATAATGAATTAAAATCAACATTATTTCTCTTATCCATGATTCTAATTTATTTGCTCGATTATAATAATCATATTATATCTTTATAAACATCAATCTATTTCTAAATATCATTTTTCTATTTTTCATAAACAATTTCTTTATAAAACCATTTAATCACATCTCATTTTATTCATTTATCGAATTATTAGTGTTTTTATTTGTTGAATGATATTTGGTAATAAAAAAAGATAAATAAACTTTTAATAATAATCATATTTTTAAATCAAGTTAATATTTAATGTGTTGACAACACTAAGAAAAATATATAGATATCAAGAAAAATAATGTGTTTAATAGTATGCTACACTCAATAACTAAGAAGAATTATAAATTTAATACGTTTCTTTATATTAGTTTTAATAAGAATATAACATATATAATAACTATTATAAGTGAGTTATAACAAACTATTTAAATTAAATTAAAGGATATTTAAAGAACGTACCAATTAACAAAAACATTCTATTTAATTGAGTATAATGATGAACTGTCTAACAACACTTAACTTAAATAACAATAAGTTAATTCAATAGAAACAATTTCAACAATATTTATATTTAAAATGAATGATATATAAACAGAAATAAATAGAAATATTAAAACAAAAGAAGTTATTAAATAATATGGTTATTTCATTGTAGCATCTATCCATCAAATGAAAAACATTGAGCCAAAAAATAAAAACATATTGACTGAAATAAAAAACAATAATAACTTTAATGAAGGGATATTTTCTTCAAAAATAGAAGAAGATTAATACAAAGAATAATATTATTAAAAGAACAAAATTATTTCATCTAAAACATAAATAAATAATATATTACAATTTCTCAATGGTATAATTATTGAAAGAGTATTTAAACAACAACACAAATAATAATAAAATGAGTTATTCATATACAATTTAATAATCAAACTATGAAAAAATAAATTATATTAGAAAGTAAAAATGTC